TAACTTATCATTTTAAACCTACAAATCATTATCTGTAATTTAACTAATGTGCTTATTTTCAAAAGCATAATTCTGCAGTCTATATAAATTTTACGGTAATAGGATTCTTGTGTTTACATATATACTTTTTAAATAAATCATTTTAGACCATTTCATTTTAAATGAACTATAGAATCTTTTCGATTTTCGACGATCAGTTCTTTTAATGTCATACCAAAACGCACACAAAGCAGTCTCTCGGTTATGAATGACTTTGTATTCAGTGCGCACGATTGAGATTTCTATTATGATAAAATAATTGCATGACTAAATACTACTAGAAATGAGAAATGCGGTAAACTGGAGTCAATCATTTCCTCATTGTCGTGGGTATCTTCGCACTAAATACCTTTTAAGAAATCGATGCATAGGATTTCGACAGTTATTGTAGTTTTATTCATTTCAGGGCAAGGGTTAATTAGGTTAATTGATTAAGGCAAAGCAACTTGAAGGCTAACTGGCTGTCGTGAGGTCTTTATAAGACATTTATATTACACATGGGAAAAACCACGAAAACTCCCATGCAGTCAGTCTGTTCTTCAAGACTCGAACTTGGGGCGAACTACAAGTGTTCAAAGATCTTATCGCTCAGCCGAGTAATTCATTTTTGCTTTAAGCGGTTTTTTATGAGTTTTGCAACATTTTTAACATTTCAAACGCAAATGTTAATTGTATTTGCAATGTTGAAACTTCTTATAAATATTTTTACAACACTTTAAAATACTTTGTAGGAAGGACATGTTTAAACGCATATCGATGTTTAAGAAACATAGACCATGCATCGCTCTTTGCCAAGTATCGTGAGCAATTTACAAGATGATTTATATGTAAATATAAAATGCAATATGTTCAATGCTTTATTATAAAATGAAAGAACCTGTGAATGGTTTCGTATCGTAGCACAAAATGGATTAACTTAAAACAAAAAATTTAGAATATGTGCTGTGTGGACTGTGAAACTGTGCAACTCAAAAATATTTTTTTCAAAATTCGATTTAGATATTTTATATTTAATATTAAGATAATCTTCTGTAGATGTTTCGCACATATTTTTGATTAATTAGTGATTTAAGACTCTCAGAACTTTAATATTTGCATACCATCATATGAAGAAATAATATTCCTTTGAAATTTGCTGAATTTCGGCCGTTTTTCAAAAGTCACTCGATTTTATATTTCACGTTAATTGTTTTTTTATTCCAACATTCAAAAAAATATCTAAAATCTTCGCCCTCTTTTGAAATAAGCTATGAGTAATCGCCAAACTGAGTACGCAATACAGTTGCGTAAGTGGCTTGTATTTCGCATTATTTAGCACACAGAAGTTTCAAGTTCATATAATATACGGAAGAGACATATTCCATTATCAAATATAAAATTAATCGATCTTAAACTTATAACAAACATTATTCATTTCCAAGGAATGACACAAATTTATCTCCTTAAAGAAAGATCAGATCTCCTTAAAGAAAGCGGCAGATCGTTAAAGTAACTGGTAGTTAAACTTAAGTTAGTTTAACACTGGTACTTAACACTGGTAGTTAGACTTAAGTTAGTTTCTAGGCAAATGAGCTGGCTGCATGAGTGTTTTCTTAGCTTCCCCGAAGAAAGTCCTCTACGAAGGTATTCCTCTCTTTAGGCAGGTGACAGGTGACGGAAGACGGGGACGCCTGGTGTTTAACAGTGGTAAACAGGCATATGTCCCACGACTTCCCCTGTACAGAAACAGCAACTTTATTTAAATTAATAAAAGTATTTACTAAGCCTTTCTTGAGTGCTTTGCCACAATCAAATAAATCACCGTTTTTCTTAAACAAGAAAAGTGGTTTGCTTTGAACACTGGGCCAAATTTCAAGAATTTGCGATTCCCGCAATTTATTAAAATCCCTTCCATTTAAAAATAATATTATTTTACGAAACCGCTGAGATTAATAGAAGGTGGTTTGTCTGCTGCAAATCGTGCGATTAACTTTAAACTTATCTACTGAGGTAATATCTAGCAACTAATAATTAATACCTGAAATAATAATTAAAAATTAATTCTAAAATTAAACTCTTTACTCGATTTTGAAATTGTTTTTTTCTAGTAGCTTTATAAAAATATTTTTTATAATTAGAAGGCTAATGAAATTTTTAATGTTTTTAAAGAACTGATGCATCTGAATTTGTTTTATACTATTCGTCGAAGTTTTTCAGTTGTTCGTAAAACTGCTGGTAATTTTCTGATTGCCACCTTTCAGTTCAAAGGTTTTTAAAATCTGCAATTTATTTCTGGATTCCATTGAAGCTGATATATCATAATTTTCTTAGTAAAGCGTCTTATTATAATTATCTTTCAGCGTATTTTCACTGCCAGTTTCGGTAGCGCTCTTTTAATATGCTCTATAATACCGTAACCAGTTTTTTAACACATTTTCTCAATATTATCGTCAGTTGCAGCCTATTCTCGAAAGGAAACTTTATAGCATTTCTCATTTATTCTAAAACGTTGCTTACAGCTTGTAATTACTTTAAGACTTATTTTAAACAAAAATCGTATTTTTGTAAGCAATTTATCTAAATACATAATTATTTTTTAATTTTACAGTTAGCTGTCTCATTTTTAAAGGAAAAAAAATATTAGAAATACGTACATCTTGACGTTAGGGAGTTCTCTTGGTTGTGGCAGGTCAGAGGTAAATTTTTCACTTTTTTAAAACAGAGAAGATTTCTTCTTTTGCCATTAAGCAATGATGTCTTTTTAATTGTTTCATCCATATTTTTCGTTAATAATACAATAACTCAATTCAATATCTGAAAACCAGCTGTTGTTTAGGTTTTATACATTGCTAAGTGTTCTAATAATTACTTAATCTGGTAATTGCTTTTTAAACAGATCAGTTTCGTTTGTATCATAAATTGCATGCAGCTTGTATTTCTTAAACAGCCCAGGAAAAATCTGTTTCATACAGTAATCAGCCATATGATACCTCTTGTTTCTCAACATGCATTTTTCGATTATGAATATTATTTTTCTTTTCATTTTCTGAACCATCAGTTGGTATAAAGAACTTTCTTAGCATTTTAGAGAACTCCACAACTTTTGTGGTCAAATAAGCTCTAGAAATTGGGATATAGTTTACTCTCTTTGCTCAAAACCACAGTTTTTCGTCAATTATAGTCCTTTATTGATAAAAATTACGAAATGATGTATGGTAAATTTTCAGTTTGAATGCACCATATACATTTTCGAAATGTTACCAGTTACACACGCAACAAATTATAATTTGCTTCTTCCAGTCATTCGTTCAATTTCAGAATTCATGTTTCCAGTCAGCTGAAAGATTGCACATTGTCTGTTTAGTCGATCTCTCACGTCATGGCTACACACATGACCAATGCTTTCTTTTCTTCTTTTTAGACTACAGCCACATTTTCCTTTCCATTCAAAAACTGATAATGTTAGGAAGCGATTCGTGATGTTTTCTAAGAACTACCTGTGAACATAATGTGTATATTCCAACGGAAAGATTTTGAACGAGGAAACCTTAAAAGATAGAACGCAGAATATGCACTTCCCGTTATCATATGATGTTCAAAAACCTCTAGGGTTTTCAGCGCCCAGTGACAACTGAAGATTTCGCGCCCCTTACTGCTTGCCAAGGATGGAAAACATTTAATTCTACAATGTCGTAACATCAGTTTGACGCCCCTTGGATTCTGCGCCTGGGGACAGTTCTTCCCCTTGCCCCCCTCTAGCTACGCCCCTGCGGACACTCATCCATTTATAATGCCTGCAGAGAACTGCTTTTGTTAATGTTAAGACAAAGAAACTTTTCCTGTGTCATCTCAAGTTCAAACAAAGAGCTTTGTAAATAATATCTGCAAGGCATAGGAAATGAGAAGGTTTTTTTTTTCTCTAGAACTACAACTTCAGTCACTGTACGCTCTGTAAGTTACAGTCCATATTAAGACAAATAAATTATCTACAACACTTTTGATGGGTGCCTGATGGAATAGGATCTTCTGGTTCTTAGTGCAGTCATTTACCAGTCTGAGTTTTATTAATTAAAAATTTAACATTTTATTTAATTTTATTTTGGCAACTTGGTGACTTGTCCATTGATTAGTATGCATTTGTTTTGGCTTCTGAAAGTATGAACTTAATAAAGTGTGATTTTATTAACCAATGAGTTAAAAGACTGGCAATATTGTAATCTAAGTTGAATAAACGTGGCATCCAAAACCTGAATTGAACAAGCGCAATGAAAAATTAAGACAAAATTTGTGGCTTTACGTATAAAATGAGATAATGTCATCTTCAAGCAATAACAAATGCTCAGATCAGAAATATCGAGCTCTTTTATTGAGAGCAGATAGCAGAATTCTGCAAAATATGTTTTTTCCTTTACAGACTTTTATAAAAATAATTTGCTGGTTTAAAAGATTGCAAATCCTACTTTGATTGCAAAGCTTTTATATTTATATCCTGCTGACTTTTATATTTATGTGTTTATATGTCGCATTATCTTGTACTATATGCTTAAGCAATTCAACAGTAAAGATAATCTTTAATAAAATGTGACCTTTCTTTGACAATAAATGGTACATTTCAAGATAATCCTTGCCCTGAAATAATCGTGGATACTAATTCAGAAGTCAAACAACAAAAATCAGCGTTATATTTTCAAAATTTTCACAGGACTATTTTCGATGGTTTTACCGAACCACCATCCTCAACTGCAAAACCGCAAAAAATCGTGGATAGTCAAGATTTCTCAAACTACAAGTTAAAAGTTAAAGCCCAATAAAATCAGTCTCGGACTTTGTGCCGGAATCCTTTAAAGCTTTAGTATCCTCAAACCATTTCTCATTCTGCTTCTGGTTCGCTAAAAACATCTCAATTATTGTATCATTTCTTTGAAAGCCAATTTCCCATGTTCGAAAACAGCTTGTCCTTAAAAAGCCATTTTCTTTTTCAGCTCTCACTTGTGATCATCCCGGCGAAATCGAAAATGGTCGCCGAGAAGGGGACATCTTCACGTTCACAAGTCGTGTCACGTATCACTGCGACCCCGGTTACGAATTGGTCGGAAGAGCCAACAGATACTGCCAGTCAAAAGGAGAATGGAGTGGCGTGCTTCCATCTTGTAGACGTAAGTAAACTTTTTTATGTAGAGAATAAGAAAACATTAGTTCGTAAAACAGACGCGTTAAGAATGGATATACAGGAATAATAGAAGAATTGCATCTAAATATTTTTTGAACAGTTGCTCTTGGATTTGTGGTTTTAGTTGAAGAAATGAATCAAAGAAAGTAGGTTTCGTAACTACAATAATAGTTCCAATTAGAAAACTGCTTATTATACTGCTACAGACTTCTTTAAAAAAACTTATTTTTAAATACTGAGAATCGGCTCTATAAAATTCATCCAAAGCATTATATGACTTGAGCCGTTTTTATTGAATGAACATAGATGTTTCATTGTGGAATAAAAATTTCCGAATTTTGGCATCATTGACAAACGGCAATGTGAAAGTAAGGATATCGTGTCTGAGGTAAAGAAAGGGTGTCATTTAAAAATCTGCATTCGTGTTTGCCTTCAACATAATATCTAGAGTTCCTAATAATTTTAGTAATTATATTTCGGATTATTGATTTCATAATCATAAAATGTTTTCTGTCTAATTTGGCTAAGGAGAACAATTTTGTTATTGACAAATTTTCCAGGAAACTCAAGTAAATTTAAGTTTTATATATTGGAGGCGAACATTGACCTGATTTAAAAATCTATTAATGTCTTACGAAACTGACACCGTAGAACAATTTTGTTATTGTCAAACTTTCCAGGAAACTCAAACGAATTTAAGTTTTATATATTGGAGGCGAACATTGACCTGATTTAAAAATCTATTAATGTCTTACGAAACTGAAACCGTAAGCCTCTCTCGGGTTCGAATGATGAAGAAGTCATGGGTGTTTGAAAATATGTAATATCTTTTTGTCGTGGTGGCATTTATAAATCATCCCATGAACTAAAAGTCCCATTGAGATAGTTATGGAAGAAAGAGTAAAATTTTAATTCTGTTCTCCGGAGTTTTCTCAATCAAAATTGATATCAAGCTGAGAAATATCGTACTGTCATCTATAAAGAGCCCAAGAACTTGTCCAGCGACAAGTAGTCTATTTCTCTTGACCACGATGAATTCGCTGACCAGAATAAATAGCAATTGGCATTAGGAATTTTTTTAAATGCTGTGTGAAATGTCTCATTTCATATTACACAGTTCCAAATTAATGAGAGTAGCTGAGCTCTATAAATGTAATATAAAATCAGTACAGTTGTAAAAATTTGAGATCGGCGATGACATTAATCCAGAACTTCCTACTCAATTCTCTCCCTGTGTTTTCACTCGTGAGTTACCAAAGCTTGATATTATTTTACAACTAAAAATAACATTCGGATGATTCGACCATGATATCATCAATCTGACTGAAGAATAGCAGTCGGATTGATTCGATTATTGACTGATATTATCGTTCTACTTAACCAATAGCAATGTGTACCATATATAAAGTTAGCTAGATTTCTCTATTTTTATCTATTTATTTATTTCAATCACCGTGAATTTGTTTCTCAAAAATAATTCCTTAAACTTGCAGACAAATCACGTTACTTAAGAATATTTAAGAGAAAACTGTTTACCGCATGAATGCTTAAAATATGTTCATACATTTAAATTTTATTAGTTACCATGATGAAAGGTACTCATTTCTATTACAAAATGTTTTAACTTTTGATATCTAATGAAACCAATAATGCGACCCATCAGCGACTGATGATGAATACATCCAGTCAATTCTGATGGATTTGACATCCAGTCAGGAAGGAGATGGGTGACAGTGTTTTCATGGTTTTCCTCAAGTGTGATGGCCCACCAACGGTCGAGCGGTAAAGTCGCTGAACGCTGGTAGTTCGGTCCGAGGTTGAAATCCCGCGAACGGCTGCATGGGTTGTTTTCTTGTTTTCCCCATGGGAACGTTTATACTAGCCATTTCCTTAGAAAGCCCTCCACGAGGCATCCCTCCCCGTTCGGCCGAGGTTCGAATCCCACGAACGGGCTGGCTGCATGGCGGTTTTCGTGGGTTTCCCATGTGTACGGTACGAGCCGTTCCCTTTAAAAAGTCCCCACGAATGCATCCCCTCCTAGCAGATAGCCCTTTGCCATAATACATACACCACACACTTAAGTGATGTTGATACGAGTCAGTATTTCTTAAACTATCCACCATTTCTTTGCGAAGATAACCCTTCTCTGTTTAGCTCCATTCAAATAAACTGTGCTTAAAAGAAATTGCAGAAGGGCTTTCAACGATTGAACAGCTAATGCCTTCTTCACTTGCAACAAATTATTGTTACTTCTTCTAGAGTTGCTTCTATGTGTTTCGTATCATGTGTGTATTTAAGTGTGCATTTAATTATGGCAAAGCACACGAGGCTATCGGCCTAATAAAGAGAGGATGCTTTCTGGATTTGTAAAGAGGCTCCTATACACGTTACACATGGGAAAAACCACGAAAACGCCCATGCAGCCAGCCCGTTCGCGGGATTCGAACCTCGGACCGAACTACAGTGTTCAGCGACTTTACCGCTCGGTCGCTGGTGGGCTCCGTTTCGTATCATGAAATATGAATGTAAATTTTATGTGTGAAGAATGCAGAGATCCCTAATAAAGAATGCAGATTAAGTATCCCTAATTATTAGAAAGTATTCTCACCTCTTTACGATTTTTCTAATAACATTTTCTTTCCTTTAAATTATTTGTGGAAATCCATGATATCACGTGTTTCAAATGCTTATTATTACCGCCCTAATTTTTTAAATGACAATTTATCGTCACCATAGGCACACAAATTTGCAATAAAAGCAGACGTATGGTTACAGTCAGGCAATATTATATTGTGACAAAGTATACTAAAACTATATGCTTAAGAAGAAGGATGTCTTTATAGATGAGTTTCTAACGGAGACAGGCTTGTATTCATGTTATATATGTGGAAAACCGCGGAAGCATTCACGAAACCGGCTCATTCACTGGGATTTTAACCTTAGACGAACTACCAGTGTTCAGTAATCCTCTCCACTCTGACGCTGGTGAGAGAAAACGATAGGAAAATAATCTTACAAAAAATTATGTAAATTTCGCGGAGGGTTGCGAGTAAAAAGATGTTATATTAAGAGAAGAAACAGTGTGTAAGATGGTTGAAGAAAGTATAAAGCGGAATTTTTATTTATTATTGATTAATGGAAAAATTCGGTAATTGGTGTTAATACGGTAAAACAGGCAATTGGTGGGGGGAAAAAAAAAAGAATCTGACGGGAACAGTGAAATAGTATGGAAAGAAGAGAGAGGGTGCGGAGGGGTAACCATAATCTTCCGTGTTGTTCAAGGGGGAGGGGGGCACGTAAAACTAGAAGGAACTGGTTATATTTCAGCTAGGGAATTGTAACTCAGTCATCCCTTAAAGGGGATCAGGGCCGTCTTTAAGGGAACAGTCGGCGCAGCATAGGGCTACGTAAAATAATTCGGCCCTTCTTCGGGAGCGAATGAAGAAGAAAGAAATAACAGACAAGAAAATGTGCAAATGGGAGTCGGGGGAAAAGAAAGTTTGAACAAAATAAAAGGGTGGGAAAAAGTGGCGCACTAAAAAAAACTATTTATTACGTTTATAATAAACTTTTACGGGGGGACGAGAATAGCGGGGGAGAAAACGGGGGGGTTTAGGAATTGTACGGAAAGACAGTGTGGTTTGCTAAGAAGTGAATTGTCTCTTTAAAGGACGAGGTCGGAGCTTAGTTTAAAGGGGCGAGACGGAAAATAGGGGGGTAGTGAGAAGAGAAAGGAGAGGGAAGTAAAGAAAAGAGGGAGAGAGGGGTATGAAGGAGGAGATAGAAAGGAGGATAAGAGAAGAATAAAGGGAAATAAGTTTGGAGAAAAAAAGTGAAAGAAATTGGGAGAGAAAGGACAGGGAGGAAAGGGGACAAGATGAAGGATAATGGAGGATGGTAGAGGGCGGCATAGAGTGGAAAGAAAATGTAAAAGGGGAGAGAAGACGGGGGGGAATAGGCGAAGGAGGTCAAGGAGGGAATGGGTGAGGGAGAAGACGTAAAGGGGGGAAAGAGGAGACAAGTAGAAAAAGAGAGGGAGTGTAAGGGGGAATGAGAAGGTAGAGGGGAAGGGTTTCCACAGCCCACCCCTCAGTCGATGCCATAAAATGGTCCGTTTCGGTTTTTTTTTTGCTAAGCCCATAGTCCAATTAGGATACCTTCGTACTTTTTGGTGTATTCAAATGGTCTGTCTAGCAGTCACGCCCTATTGGGGTCTATGCTCAGATGAGGGGAGGAGGGAAGGAAGACCAGAAAGAGGGGGAAAATAGTGCGACTAGGATCATAAAAAGTCAAGAAGATGTTGGACTAAGACAGTATGTACTTTATTTAACCTTTCTTTTTCCGTAGATGTCGGAAGAAAGATAGAAGTGGTGGGAAAAGAACAGGAAAAACCTAATTTGCAGGGGCAGATGTGATAGAACAAAATCAAGGCATAAAAAAAAGAAGTGTCAGGATAATACCGGATCAGTGTAATTAGAATCTATCACTGTAGAGACGTGGAGAGACATGCGGAACAGTAATATGGGAAAAAGCGAAAGGGAAAATTGAAACGTGCCAGAAATCAGTTCCAAAAGAATAAACACTAAACTTAAAGGTCAAGATTTAAAAATTAACGATACAAAACCCATGGTTGACGACAGCGTGACAATGGGAAACGTTATTTCATGATACAATTCCCTAATCTCGCTACTAGGGTGTGACCGTATGCATTATTGCGGTCAAGCATGTGTTCCGCCTTCGGAGAAGACGACTAGGTTAGCTGGCGAGCGGCGACAGTACGTCGCTCGCTCGGGCGTCGGTAATACCATTGTGGCGACAACATTGGACGTGTGTGATCCTATGTAGAATGCTATGATTTGTAATAAGTAATAAATGTGGGTAAGGTCAACTATGGTCGTTGATGTACCTTGGATCCCCACAATATAGCATAATAATGGTAATGTATTAGAAAAAATGACAAGAGATTCGTGCATTTCATCAATTTGGCCTAGGGAATCTGAATCCGGACGTATTGTTTCGTCGAACGTGGAATCTTTTGATAAACAAAAAGATTGGTTCGGACGGAGGAGGCAAAGCGATGTAGGAAGGGAGAGGGTAGGAAGAAATATTGGTGAACCGGGGGTTGAGTAACGAAAGGAAAAGCCACGTTAACCTGTAAATGTGAAGATATACTATAAGTAATAACGGAGAGTGCGAATATGGGTTCCACTGTGAGCTTGGATGTCAAGTGTTATTGTAATTCACGAAGCTATGGGCAGTCAGGACAGCATACTGAACTACAATTGATGACCGGAATTTGGTGGGGTTACACTTGAGTTGGTGTCTGTATGCAAAAGTGCGGGTGATAAAAATAATGAAAAGGTAGCAGCAAATCATTGACACAATCACTAATTAATGTTCCTATACTTTTATGCGAGGAAATGTTAAAAATAAATAACAACTGAGTGTCCGGAAAACGGTTTAGGTGGGATAGAATGGGGTGAAGTATAAAGATAAACCTGTCGACCGGACGGTAGGTGATTATACTAGTGGTAAGGGGAAAGCGGTGTATATATAACTCAAGAACGCGTACGTGCTCCGAGCAGCAAATTGCACGGCTGTAAAGCAAAGCGGTGGGAGGCGGGATACAGTATGGAATGTTAAAAAACGTAAGAGAAGAGGCCTACTTGGAATAATGGAATACGAACATGTTGTGCCGCGTAGCTGCGACGGAAGTGCTATAGCGGAACGGAGGGAAAAAGAAGGCAGGAGGAAAAAAATATCAAAAGTCATAAGTCAAAAGTGATAAGTTTTGATCAGGGCACCAGAAAGATAAGGAATTGTTGAAAAGAGAGACAAATAAAAAATCAAAAAACAAAAGAAAAAAAAGAAAAAAAATAAAATTGGAAATAAATATAAAAGGGGTTTACGACACGTGTATATTGATGAAAGGGGTACTAAATGTCGCCAAATAACAGAAGAGAGGGATACCGCAAAAAACAGCGAAAATAGCAAGCGGGGAAAGGGCGAGCAAGTATAAAAAAATACATGGTAGGTGGAAGTGACGGAAACATATCAATCGCAAATAACAAATGCGCCTCAAAGGCTTGCGACACGTGAGGCGAATAGAGAGAGGACCCGAAGATTGATAGGGCGCGGGGGGGCATGAATATAGTTCAGGGTGACGGGTGCAAGAAACGGATGGCGGCCGCATTAAAAAGTGGGAAACGGAGAAGAACAGAAGCACTAGTAATAAAATGGGGAAATAAGTTTTGGATAATCGGGAGTCCATTCCAGAACCATTTATAAGAGAGAAATGTATGTGGGAGGGGCGGGAGGGAAAACGTATTATGTACAAGTCCATTGGTGAAGCAAACCTAGAAGATCAACTCATGCTAAAGTGTAGGTGGCTTTGATGCATCTTACCAAATCCCAATCCTTGTGTCAACCAAAGAAATAAAGGTAAGCGAAGAGATACGATAGTACTATTACGCGATCTCACAGGAAAATCGATAACCACAAAATCGCGATGTTGCCCAAAAATGAAGGAGGGGCTAGGCGAATTGGGTGGCAAAATGGGCGTAAAAAGCGGGGGAAAGTTTCAAAGAAAGCAAGGTTGTAGGAACGAGACCGGGGAGGGGGGAAAACGAGCGGGGGGCGGGAAAGGGGTCCGGGTCACGGAGCTGTTGCCCTTCCCTCGGGTAAGAAAATTGTGGGCGAGAGAAAAGGGCCAACAACGCTTGGGAGAGGGGTGGAGGGGGGAAGGAAAAGTCCCGGGGGGGTAAAGACGGTGGGGGAAATGAGCAGGAAGAGAAGGGTAGAGGGAGGAAAAAAATGTAGGGAATGAATTCGTGGTAAGGGTAAAGAAGGGCAGGGCAACTCACCAGTCTCTAGGCATAACTTAAAGGGGAGGGTCATAAAGGGTAACGATAACCGGCAACACAACTAATATTAGTGCTGGCGATTTGCGCTGTACGATGCTGGATAGACAGGTAGTATTGCGGATTTATGGGAGCGCAAGAAACAGTTATACGAAAAATTAGGATAAGGGTTGAAGCGCAACATTACTAGGCGCCTGGCATCAGACGAAATAATTGGCTTGGTCGGGGGGTGGTCAAAGGAGAGTGGAATGATCAAAATCGCGGCTGGAACGGGGAAGGGAAGAAAAACTCACGAAGAGTGGGGGCACGGGAGACAAACGGTAGGTGCCAATATTGTCGATTCTGGCACTTCTTGTGAATAGTCGGAAAAATTTAAATGCCTCTCGAGGGGGATGTGTGGTTATAAACTTGAAGGTGAATTTGTGTTTCCTTTTGAGAATAAATTTCCATGCGGTGGGAAGAGAGGGGAGGGGGCGGCGGAGGAAGTGCCAAATTCCGGTAGTAAGTAAGGGAGGAGAAAAGAGAAGAGAAAAAATTTCAACATGTAGCATGGTCGTGTGAGACTACTATTTAGCTTTTTTTTTTTTTTTTTTTTTTTTTTTTTGTTGTTTTTTTCGCTGTGGTTTAAATTCAAGTGCTAAACTGGTGTTTGATCTCTCTATGAGTGATTTTTTGCCAGTTTAGTTAATGTACTCTAGGGAGCCTGTAATGAAGTTGAGAGTCGTTTATATAAAATATAAAAATTTATAACAAGGGAACATACGGGAATTACTAGAGGGGGCGGAAAAAATCTCTGCAGGCTTTGAAAACATATAGCGGCAGACAGACGTTATTGATTTTATTTTAAACGGATTAGATCTAAAAAGAAAAAAATACTGTATGTACTTCAGAGAGAGCGTTGGGTGGGTGGATTATTTGTATGGCAGGTGAGTCGGACTGAAATACAGGATAATGGTGATATGGTAACCCAGTCGTGCTATAATAGATAGATAAAAGAAGTTCACGGGGTTGGGAAGCGGGGGGGAAGATGAGTAAAGTAAGAGATATAGTTCGGGAACAGTTTAAGGGTAACTATAACCAGATGTGTGGATAGGGTACTGGTGAGTGTAAAAAAGGTAAAAAATTCAGCAGGAGGGATGGGAGACGTTGATGTCATAAGCAAAATACTAGAGATGGGATTAGGAGGTCGAGAATAGACGGAGGAGGAAAAATGGGGGGAGGGGGGGGGAAGGGGTGGGGGGTAGGGAAAGAGGAGGGCTGGAGAGACCATAAATGAGGGGGAATAAAGTGTTGGTGAGGTTGTTTGCACTGGCAAAAGAGAAAGTTGTGTGGAAAGCAAAGAACGTTGGGAAAGTATGTAAATAAATGTGATAGTTAATATAAGAGCAGAACAAACTAAGACAGGGACATGCAAATGTGGCGGCAATTTATTAATTATGTGAGAAATATTCGCAACATAGCTCAAAAGTTAAAGGAACTATGGTTGAACAGGGGGAGAATTTCTTAGTGTGACAAAAAAAAGAGGGAGGAGAGAGAGTATAATGGGAAGATAGAAAGGTAGGTGCGGAAATAAATGGGGATAGTTAATAATTGTAAACTAAAAAAAGAGGAATCTTCGTTAATAGTGTCAGAGACTGTGTATTGGGCGACGAGGATAGACAAAGGACAACAATGTAGAAAAGGTCATAAACAGCACCAATAGGTTGTTAAATTTAAAGCAAGATACACTATGGGGAGAAGGAAAATTGGTAACAAGGTTATTAAAGTTATTTTAAAGGACAAAAAAAGGAAAAAAATACAGGTAGGGGGGGGAGAGAGTTTGGTTATCTCAACACTAGTTGTTTGAGATTTTACTTATACAAAAGATATATAGTATAAAAATAATGAAGTAAAGAATCCTGCAGAAGTAATATTAGATGTGAAAATACAGGTCGGCACCGTGGAAGAACTTGTGAAAGCAAACAAGCGAAAATGAGAGTGGGGAAATATTTGTAAGTGCCCGGGGGATTTGCGAATAATAAAACAATAAGGTAGTTCTGTCAGACTTTGTGTGGATAAAAACGTAAAGGGGGGTATATGAAGCGATATTGATTGTGGTGCTGATCTTAAGAAAGTAAATACAGAACTCGAGGGGGAAGTAGGACGGGATGGATGCGGGTTATAAGCAGGGAATTAGTTAGAATATGGGGGACATCATATCTGACGAATAGAGAAGTGAATAAAGTTTCAGAGAGACCCACAATGGGGTAACCGGGCAAAAGTGTAATTGTGGTCGAAGCGATAGAACGACTGAAAAACACACACAAAGTCTTTAATCAAAACCAAAGAATTATTACCCTAAATCAGGGAGGGGGGGAGGGAAAGGGGAGGATTTAACTTTTACAGAATAGTATACGCGGGAAGTAGTATCGCAGTATTAAAATAAAAAAACAGAGTGTTGTCCGACCATGTTGGAAACGTTGTGAGCGGAAATGAGGGCGGACAGAAAAAAAGTTGACAAGGAAAGGATAAAGAATACACAGGTTACGAATGTCAAGTGTGGGATGCACAGAGTTGTCCCATAGATAGAAATCTAAGGGGGGTAAAAAACCCTCCGAACAGAGAAAGGGGGAAAGACAGACAAAAAGATGTTCGCATCTGTAAGGTAAAAAAGGGAAAGAGACCCAAACATTGCGCCCCGCGGTGCGTGTATAGAAGAGACGGGGTGGGGGGTAGTTACGCCGCCGGGGTGACCATATTTTATTACTAAACGGGGGTGAAATGTAGTTTTTTATAATGTTGGGGAGGAAATTGAAGTTCCACCTTAGTAAATAAATATATATAAGACGTGAAAATAAAGAGAATGTAAAAGGAAATAGAAGAAAAGAATCTTCCTTGATAATATATAATATAAAATAAAAGATGGAAATAAAAGTATTCCTTTAAGTTATTCTTTTTTCTAATTTTGCCTCTAAACGCATTCATTTATAACGTGCAAAACATGGG